CAGTTTATGTGTATTAAAAGCTGCCTACCACAATTATTATTCGAAAGAGTCTATCTATCCATACTTATGCCAGGGTAGGGAATATTTAGCTCTTCACACTCTTGCCAGTATTAAATTTTCCTAAGTTTTTGCCTTTATGGCTTTTGGAGTTTGGGTCTTTTTAGGAAGGTCATCCTTGTCCCAAGATTATAAAGAAAATCTGTGTTTTGGGTCACCGAAGCAGTCTGTAATTCTTTAAGTATAGTATGAAGTAGGGATTCACTTCTTCTAAGGTAGATATTTGAGGTAGATATTTCAGCATTGCAGGTAGATCATTTGCAAATATCTTCTCCTATTCAGTAGGTTGTCTTTGTTTTGTTGTTTCCCTTGCTGTGCAAAAGCTTTTCATTTTGATGTAGTCTCAGTAGTTTATTTTTGTTTTGTTCCTTTGCCTCAGGAGAAATACCTAGAAAAAGTTGGCATGGCCAGTGTCAGAGCAATTACTGCCTGCACTCTCTTCTAGAATTTTTTTTGTAAGATTTATTTATTTATTTTAGAGAGCACATGTGCAAGTAGAAAGGGGAGGGGCAAGGGAGATAGAATCCAAAGTCAACTCCCCACTGAGCATAGTGCCCAACTTGGGGTTTGATCTCATGACCAGAGATCATGACTTGAGCCAAAACCAAGAGTTGGACACAACCCACTGAGCTACCCAGGTGCCCCTTTTCTAGGATTTTTATGGTTTGAGGTCTCACATAAAGGTCTTCATTCCATTTTGAGTTTTTTTGTTTGTTTATGGTGTAGGAAAATAGTCCAGTTTCATTCTTTGCATGTAGCTGTCCAGTTTTCCCAACACCATTTATCAAAGGGCCTTTTTCGCATTGCATATCCCTGCCTCCTTTGTCATAAATTAATTGATCATATAATCATACATTTATTTCTAGGCTCTCTATTCTGTTCTGGTGATCATACTGTTTTGATTACTAAGCTTTTTTTTTAAGATTTTATTTATTTATTCATGAGACACAGAGAGAGTCAGAGACACGGATGGAGAAGCAGGCTCCATGCAGGGAGCCTGACGTGGGACTCGATCCCGGGTCTCCAGGATCAGGCCCTGGGCTGAAGGTGGTGCTAAACCACTGAGCCACCTGGGCTGCCCTGATTCCTAAGCTTTATAATATATCTTAAAATCTGGGATTGTGATAGCTTCAGTTTTGTTCTTCTTGCTCAAGATTTCTTTGGCTATTTCCATGGTTCCACACAAATTTTAGAATTATTTGTTTTGTGAAAAATGCTGTTGTATTTTGATAGGGATTACATTAAATCTGTAGGATGCATTGGATAATGTGGACATTTTCACAGTATTCTTCTAATCCATGAGCATAGAATATCTTTCCATATGTTTGTGTCATCTTCAATTTCTTTATCAGTGTTTTATAGTTTTCAGAGTACAGGTCCTTTACCTCCTAAGTTAAATTTATTCCTAGGTATTTTGGGTATAATTGTCTTAATTTTTCTTTACTACTTCATTATTAGCATATAGAAATATAATTCATTTCTGTAATATTGATTTTGTATCCTGCAACTTTACTGAATTGATATATGAGTTCTTGTAGTTTTTTGGTGGAGTCTTTAAGGGTTTCTATATATAGTATCATGTCATCTGCAAATAGAGTTATACTACTTCTTTACAATTTGGATACCTCTTATTTCTTATCTGATTGCTGTGGCTAGGACTTCCAGTTGTGGTAATAAAAGTGGTAAGAGTGGACATCTTTATCTTGTTCCTGAGCTTGTAGGAAAAGCTCTCAGTTTTTCATCATGGAGTATGATGTTAGCTGTGGGTTTTTCGTATAGGCCCTATATTATGTTATGTTTCCATAAACCTACTTTGTTGAGGGTTTTATTATGGATAGATATTGTACTTGGTCAAATATTTTCCTGCATGTATTGAAGTAATCATATGGTTTTGATCCTTGTTGATGTGAAATATTATGTTGATTGATTTGCCAATATTGAACCACCCTTGCATCCTAGGAGTAAATCCCACCTAATCATGGTGAATGATTTTTTTTCATGTATTGTTGGATTTGGTTTGCTAATATTTTGTTGATGATTTTTACATCTATATTCATGAGGGATGTTGGCCTGTCGTTCTCTTTTTTTGTAGTGTCTTTATCTGGTTTTGGCGTCTGGGTGATACTAGCCTTGTAGAATTAATTTGGAAATTTTCCTTCCTCTTCTATCTTTTGGAATATTTTGAGAAGAATAGGTATTAACTCTTCTTAAAATGTTTTGTACAATTCATCTCTGAAGCTATCTGGTCCTGGACTTCTCTGTTCATTGAAAGTTTTTTTGATTAATGATTCAGTTTCATTGCTGGTAATCTGTCTGCTTAAATTTTCTGTTTCTTCCTGATGCAGTTTTGGGAGTGTATATGTTTCCAGGAATTTGTCCATTTCTTCTAGGTTGTCCAATATGTCGGCATATAATTCCTCATAATATTCTTATAATATTTCTCCTTTTTCATTTCTGATTTTGACTGTGTACTCATTTCCCCCTCCTCCCTTTCTCCCTGTACGAGTCTAGCCTTTTGTTGATCTTTTCAGAGCACCAGCTCCTGGTTTCATTGATCAGGTTCTCTCTTTTTTTTAAGTTTCTTTTTTTTTTAAGAGTTTATTGACTTATTCATGAGAGACACAGAGAGGGAAACAGAAACATAGGCAGAGAGAGAAGCAGGCTCACTGTGGGGACCCCAATGTGGGACTCAACCATTGAGCCACCCAGGTGTCCCTTTTTTAAAGTTTCTATTTCATTTATTTCTACTCTAATCTTCTTTCCTTCTATTGGTTTAGGGTTTTGTTTGGGTTAGGTTGCTGATTTGAGATTTTTCTTCTTCAAATGGCCTGTGTTGTTAAAAACTTCCTTCTTAGAATAGCTTTTGCTGCATCCTAAACATTTTGGGTTATTGTTTTTATTTTCATTTGTCTCTGTATATTTTTTTATTTCTTTGATTTCTTGGTTGACCCATTCATTATTTAATAACATGTTGTCTGACAAAAGTTTCCATATATTTGTGTTCTATATTTTTTTCTTGTGGTTGATTTTGAGTTTCATACCATTGTGCTTGGAAAAGATGAATGATACAACTTCATCTTTCTGAATTTTGTTGAGACTTGTTTTGTGGCCTAACGTGATGTACTGTGGTGAATGTTTTATGTGCTCTCAAAAAGAATGTGAATTCTGCTGTTTTAGGATGGAATGTTTTGAATATATGTTAAATCCAACTGGTCCTTGTGTCATTAAAAGCTATTTCCTTGTTGGTTTTGTTTAGATAATCTAACCATTGATGTAAATGGAGTGTTAAAGTGCCCTTTTATTATTGTGCTACTTCCAATTACTTCTGTCATGATGGTTAATAGCTGCTTTATGTATTTGGGTGCTTCCATGTTGGGTGCATAAATATTTACAATCGCTTTGTCTTCTTGTTGGATTATTTCCTTTATGATTGTGTAGTGTCCTTCTTTGTCTCTTGTTACAGTCTTTGTTTTAAAGCCTATTTGTCCAATATAAGTACTCCTACCCCAGGCTTCTTTTCCCCTCCATTTGCTTCATAAATGATTTTCCATCCTTTCACTTTTTTTTTTTTAAGATTTATTTGTTTGTTTGAGAGAGAATGAGAGTGTCGGGGGTGAGACGGGAGGGAGAGAGAATCCCAAGCAGACTGCCGATTGCAGAGCCTGACTCAGGGCTTGATCTCACAACCTTGAAATCATGACCTGAGCCACAAGCAAGAGTCAAACCCTCAACTGACTACACCACCAGGCACCACCCCCTCACTTTTTTAAAAAGTTTTATTTATTAAGTAATCTCTACACTTAATGTGGGGCTCAAACTCATGACCCCAGGATCAAGAGTTGTGCACTCCTCCAACTGAGCCAGCCAGGCATTTCCATCCCTGTACTTTTCACTCTGATTATGACTTTAGGTCTGAAATTAGTCTTTTATAGACAGCATAGGTCTTGCTTTTTTTAATCCATTCTATCACCCTATGTCTTCTGAGAGTTTAGTCCATTTACATTTCAAGTAATTATTGATAGATGTGTACTTATTGCCATTTTGTTACTTGTTTATGATTATTTTTCTAGTTCTTCTCTGTTCCTTGTTCTCTTCTCTCATGGTTGACTGGATTTCTTTAGTGATATACTGGGATTCCTTTCTCTTTATTTTTGCATATCTATTACCAGTTTTTGATTCATGGTTACCATTAGGTTGATATGTGTTATGCATATAACAGTCTACATTAAGTTGATAGTCATTTAATTTTGAACCCATTCTAAAAGCACTAAATTTTTACTTTTCTCCCACACGTTTTTAGTATATGATGTGATACTTTATATCCTTTGATATTTTTGAAGCCCTTCACTGATTTTTATAAATATGCATTATTTTACTGTTTTTTGTACTTTGTACTTTTCTTTTATGCTCAAAGAATGCCGTTTAACATTTCCTATAGGACTGCCCTAGTGGTGATGAATTCCTTCAACCTGTGTTTGGGAAACTTTTTATCTGTTCAACTATTCTGGGTGGTAGCCTTCCTGGGTAGAGTATTCTTAGTTGAATTTTTTTTTTCCTTTCAGCACTTTAAACATATCATGCCACTCTCTTCTGGCCTACAAAGTTTCTGCTGGAAAAACAGATGATAGCCCTATAGGTTTTTCTTGTATGTAACTGATGTTTCTCTTGCTGATCATAAAATTCTCTTTTTAGCACTACTTTTTGCCATTTTACTTACTATGTGTCTTGGTGTGGACCTCCTTAGGTTGATTTTGCTGGGGACTCTGTGCCTTCTGTTTCTGGACTTGTTTGCTTCCCCAGATTTGGGACATTTTCAGCTATTATTTCTTCCAAAATGTTTTCTACTCCCTTCACTCCCTCTTCCTCTTGCAGGATCCCTATATTGGAAACCTGTTAGCCAGGTTTGTGCAGGTCTATGAGAAGATACCTGGAGCCATTTTGGAGAACTTGGGGATAAAAGGATGTTGGAGAGGGTAAGTGTGCAGTAGAGTGCAGGGGTGGGGCACACATTAGCAAGCTAAGTGGAGAGGTTTGTGCTACACTGGTTCCCATGGCTGTCCATGCACCTAGGCTTGAGGGGCAGGGGAGTTAAACAGTGCCCACTGGCTCTTCTGTTCTTGGAGAAGTCTCCTAAAGATCTCTGCCCCTCCAGTGCATGCTCTGAATCTTCTTCCCCTATAGCCCAGCCATTTTTCAAACTGCTACTTTTATGCTATATCTCAGCAGGGTTGTTTGTTATGCTCTCTCTTTAAAGGTCGAGGCTCAGTTTCCTATCATCCTCCAGCTCTCCCAGAGCTGAGCCACTGATTTTTTTAAGGTTTTATTTATTTATTCATGAGAGACACAGACACAGATTCCCTCTGAGACATAGGCAGAGAGAGAAGCAGTCTCCCAGCGGGAAGCCTAATGTAGGACCTGATCCCAGGACCCAGGGATCACGCCCTGAGCTGAAGGCAGACACTCAATCACTGAGCCACCCAGGTACCCCTGAGCCACTGATTTTTTTTTTAATAGTTAAGAGATTTTATTCTAGTAGCTATAATTACAGTGCTTGTTTGTCAAAATGAAAACTGAAAACAAGTATACAAAACAGTTGATTACTAATCGTGTATTGAAAGCAGTAAGAGGTTCCACAACACCAAATAAACCAGTTCTGAGGACTTCCCCAAGATAAAGTTGAACAGCTCCAGCTTCTTCAGTGTTTATCAAAATACAAAAGTAAACAGTAGAGGTCGTCATTTCGATGGCAAATCTGACCCTTGCAGGCTGAGGGAGTGAAAGCTTGTGTAGACGGGCTCCCGGGGCTCCGGGGGCTGAGGTGCTGGGATGACTGGCCTGCCCACCTGCACTCCTGCTGGTGAGACCCCAGGCAGCCCGGAGCAAGCCAGAGTGCCCACACTGCCCCCAGGGAGACCAGGGTCCCTCCGAGGGGTCCGTGAGCAGTGATGCAGCCCCCAACCCATCTCCTGGGAGGCCGTGTAAGCACAAGTACAAGCACAAACGCTAGGGGATGCAGGATGACCTGAGACCAGAGCGATCACAAGGACCCTATCGTGACCATGCAGAATGGACTGTGAGCCACTGATTTTTAAAGTTCCAGATGTTAGGCCCCTCAGGTTTTCAACGGCAAATTTATGGGGACTCATCTTCCCAGTGCAGGTCTCGCATGTCTGGGGTGCCAGATGTGGGGTCCGCTCCTTTCCCTTCTCTCCCTCCTTTCCACAGACCATCTCCTGGGTCACGTTGGTTCCTGGCTACATCTCCACCCTTCCCAACATTTTTCCATGTGACCTCTTAGCCCTGGTAGAACACTTAGCCCTTAGCCTTAGTGTTCTACCAGTCTTTGGGTCATTTTGGGGGCTATTTACACTGATGTCAGTCTTATTTAGGTATATCATGGGGCAAGATGAGCTTAGGATCCTCCTACTTCACCATCTTTCCCAGAAATATGTTGTTTTCTATTAATGTTCTCCATTCTTCTTCTAGAAGCTGTTCCCTGCCCCCACACTCCCTTATAACTTTAAAGCCACCTTCCACTTTCTTAACACATTTCAGTCTTACATACCAAATCTGGTTGCAACTCTGCTACCTAGAGTAACTAGTAAGATACTTGTCAGGGATATGTCCTTGTTGAAAAAGCTTCCTGGGGTCCTCATGGCCTACCATGGAACCAGTCTAAACCCCCGAGAGGGCTTCCCCTCAATTCTCCCTAATATTCCTGCCTGTCTACACGTTGTTCCGTGGATTCATGTTATCTTTCCTCACGCTAATTTTTGTTCATGCCATTTCCCTAACAACACCACCCTTCTCATCCACCATCATCACTAGTTAAAATACTTCAATACCCAATTTAAATTTTATCTCTTCAGTGAATTTGCAAGAGACCATTTTCCCTCTTGATTCTAAGCAATCTTTGTTCTCCATGGTTCACTTAAATTGCTGCTTTGTACTGTCATTATTTCTTAGTACTTTCATTCCTTACTCTCATCTCCATCAAATCACTAAAAGAAGCACAAATTCCTGATGACTACTACTCTCCCCAATTCATTATCAACACAAAGGCAAGCATTTAAAGTTTCAGAATACTTAATAGTGAGACTTAATTAGCTTTTTTTTTCCCAAATTGAAGTATAATTGACATAGGGTATTACATTACTTTCAGGTGTACAAAATGATTCTGTATATGTATGTATTCCAAAAAGACTGTCACACAAAGCCTAGTCAACATCCATCACCATACAGAGGTACAAAAAAAAAATCAACTTTTTTTTAATTTGAAGTTTTACTTTCCTAGCAGTTTTCAAATATGTAATACAGTACAGGCATAACTCGTTTTATGGTGCTTAACTTTATTGCATTTAATAGATGATGCGTCTCTTAAAAAATTGAACGTTTGTGGTAGCCCTGCCTTGAGCAACTCCATCCACACCATTTTCCCAGCAGCATTTGCTCACTTGATGTCTCTGTGTCACATTTTGGTAGTCCTCAAAGTATTTCAGTCTTTTTCACTATTACTCTGTTTGTTCGGGTTGTCTGTGATCAGGGATTAGGACTCACGGGAAGGTCAAATGATGATTAACATTTTTTAGCAACAAAGTATTTTTAATCAAGGTGTATGCTATATTTTAGATCTAATACTGTTGGACACTTAATAGACTACAGTGCAAACATGACTTTTAATATGCAATGGAAAACAAATTTATTTGACTCACTTTATTGTAATATTCACATTATTGTGGTCACCTGGAGCTGAACTTGCACTATCTCCAAGGTATGCCTGAATTTTAACTATAGTTGCCATGCTGTACAGAACATCCCCATGTCTTAATTATTTTATAATTGGCATTTTGTACCTTTTGACTATCTTGACCCATTTTGTTCGCCCACACACCGCTCCCCCACCCATCCTGTGCCCAGTCTCTGGTAACAACCTGTATCTGTAAATTTTTTTCCTTTAAATTTCACATATGAGTGGGATCATAGGCTGTTTGTCTTTGTCTGACTTATTTCACTTATCATAATACCCTCTAGGTCCATCCATGTTGTCTCAAATGGAATGATCTCATCCTTCTTATGGATGCATAATATCACAGGAGGCATGTATGTGTGTGTGTTTTTATCTATATATACAGATAGATATATGTATACATGTGAATCATATATTACATTTTCCTTCCCCATTTGTCTATTGATGGACACTTGAGATGCTTTGGATATTATATATAATGCTGCAGTGAACCTAGAGGTGCATATATTTTTTTCAATTAGTGTTTTCATTTACTATAGGTAAGTATACAATAATGGAATTACTGCATCATATGGTATTTTTAACTTTTTGAGGAACTTTCATACTGTTTTCTACAGTGGGTGTAACATTTTAGATTCCTACCAACAGTATACAAGTGTTCCTTTTTCTCCATATCCTTGCCAACACTTGTTAATTCATGTGTCTTTTAGCCATTATGACAGGCGTGAGGTGATATCTCAGTTTTGATTTGTATCTCCCTGATGAATGACGTTGAGCATCTTTTCACGTGTCTGTTGGCCATCTGTATGGCTTCTTTGAAAAAGTGTCCATGTTCTCTGCCCTTTTTGTAATTGGATTTTTAAAATATTTTTGGTGTTGAGTTGTAGAAGTTATTTTTATATTTTGGATACTAACCCCTTATTAGATAAGTCATTTGCAAATATCTTCTCCCATTCAGTAAGTTGCCTTTTTGTTGTGTTGAGGGTTTGCTTTGCTCTGCCAAAGTATTTAATATAGTCCCAATAGTTTATTTTTGCTTTTGTTTCCCTTGCCTTAGGAGCTGTATCTAGAAAAGTGTTGCTATAACCAATTTCAGAGAAAATAACACCTGTGTTCTTTTCTAGGATGTTTATGGTTTCAGGTCTCACACTTAAGTCTTTAATTCATTTTCAGTTTATTTTTGTGTAAAGTGTAAGAAAGTGGTATAGGTTCAATCCTTTGCATGTAGCCATCCAGTTTTCCCAGCACCATTTGTTGAAAAGACCATCTTTTCCCTATTGCATATTATTGCCTCCTTTGTCATGAATAAATTGACCATATAATAATAGGTTTATTTCTGGGCCATCTATTCTGTTCTATTGATCTATGTGTCTGTTTTTGTGCCAGTACATACTGTTTTGAGTACTATAGCTTTGTAGTATATCTTGAAATCTCAAGTTGTGATACATCCATCTTTGTTCTTTCTCAAAATCACTTTGGCTATTTGGGATCTTCTGTAATTCCATACAAAACTTTAGCATTATTCTGATTTTGTGGGAAAAAAAAAGCTGTTGGTATTTTGGTAGGGTTTGCACTGAATCTATAGATTGTTTTGGCTATAATGGAAATTTTAACAATATTTTTCCAGTCTGTGAGCATAGAATATCTTTCTATTTTTGGCATTTTCAGTTTTTTTTCCATCAATGTTTTATTTTGCAGAGTAAAGTCTTTCACCTCTTTAATTTTATCCCAAGTCATTTTATTCTTTTTGGTACAATTGCAGGTGGTATTTTTTTAATTTCTCTTTCTGCTACCTTGTTATTAGTGTATAGAAATGCTATTGATTTCTGAGTATTAGTTTTGTATATACCACTTTACTTAATTCATTTATCACTTCTCATAGTTTTTTGGTGGAATCTTTAGGATTTTCTTTGTATAGTATCATCCAGTCTACAGATAGTGACAGTTTTACTTGTTCTTTACCACTATGGATGCACTTGATCTCTTCTCTGATAGCTGTGGCTAAGGCTTCCAATACTATGTTGAATAAAAATGGTGAAAGTGGACGTTCTTGTCTTATTCTCATCCTTACAGAGAAAGCTCTCAGTTTTTCATCATTGTGTAGTATGTTAGCTGTGGATTTTTCACATACGGCCTTTATTTTGTTGAGGTATGTTCTCTCTAACGCCACTTTGTTCAGAGTTTTATCATGAGTTGACATTGAATCCTGTCAAATACTTTTTCTGC